CAATCCTTTTCAACAACCAATTTCCCCTTTACATGAAGACACTGCCTAGAATACAATTTGAGGGCACTGTCTTGATGAAACACTGAATTCTCAGAACTGATGGTAAGATAAATTACTGCAATCAGTATGGAGAATTTGAAATTTAGCTTTGAATTGTAAGGGCCAAGAGAAAAATCCAAAAATAATGTGTATGCTTGTCACTTTGCTTCATATAAAAAAAGTACAATAAAATCCTAAACCCTGCATGTTTTGACAGAAGGAATTGTCTATTGTGCAGTTCCAAAAAATATCCATACCCTCCCAACAGAAGGGATTGGAATTTTCCTAGCAGGTGGGGGTTCTCTAAGAACAAAGAATTCAAAGAAATGTATGAAGCTTTGTTGGAAATTCCAAAAGGGTGGGGACGGGGGGGGATCTTAGACAAAATCTCCTCTGTGGGGAGGTATGGATATTTTCTGGGACTACACCTTGAACTTACCACAAAAATGATACTGGAACTTCTGTTTTGGTGCTGCTTTGTCTGGTGACACTTCATGATGTACCAGAGCTGACACAGCCAAGATCTAAACCATGAAAAAAAAAAACAGTGCACATGAGAGAATTACTATTGAAACAAGAGAGGACAAATTTTATTTGATATATTGCTACTTAATTTAGTCTTAAATGCAGGCATAAGTAATATTGTGATCATACCACGTGCGGGGACGGACTGACCAACTAACTGCATGTTACTGGTGGTATTACAGGGTAAACAGATATCCACAGCTGGGTTACCTGTGGTGGCAAACACGGAAAAGTTGCAGAAATACATACCTCATGAGTGTGAGTCTTTGTGTTCAACATTGTCCTAAAACTGAGACTCATGACAACCTAAAGAAAGAGAAAAAACAAACAATAACTGTAGAGAGGATGGATGAGCTGGTGTTCACTAGCGACGGAGTTGGAGTCATAATCATAGTTGGAGTCATAAGAGAGGTCAAAACTCAGTGAAAATCAAAAATTGGAGTTGTAAGCAGAGTCATGAGCTCGACAGAATCAGAAAATTTTAATTTCTTGCAATTTGTTTATGACTCTGTCGCTTATAATCCGGTGAAAACTAGATTTTTGGAGTCCAAAGCAGAAGCAGAAGAACCAACCATTCACAAGGCCCGGAACTGAACATTGTGACTGGTATATTCTTCCGCTTCTGCTTCTGACTCCAACAATCTAGTTTTCATCGGATCATAAGCGACTGAGACGTAAACAGAATGGGTGTTTGGCACCTGACTCCGTTGGTTTGATTTTCACTAGTTTGTAACACTCTACGCTTCTGATTATGACTCCAACTACAACTCTGTTGCTAGTGAAAACCTGCCTTAAGATGGCTGAACACAGTTTTTGATACCTGTGTTTCACTCACCTTTTTCTCTAAAACCCTTGATCCCTCGGTCGTCAGAAATGGCAGCAAGCTAGTTAACAACGCAAACTTTGGTTTTTTGATGGTTAAGCTGATGTATGCGCCATTGCCATGGTAACATGAATAAATATAAACAGGCCTTTAAAATCGGTTTTGTTTATTTACAGAAAATCTAGTCATAAGATTTTCTTTATAATTTGCATGCAATAAGCTTGTAACGATTCTCACAAGTTAACAACATTTTGCTAATAATTTAACAGAGAGATCTTTAATTATCCCTTGTTGAAGGCTCACTGGAATATCTAGAATTTCCTTTGTTAAAGTTCAATTATTTTCAATACTCCAGTTACTTATTTCCTAAAGTATTTTTGTGCCAAATTTCGTGAAATTCTAATGAGTGGTTCTCAAGAAATAGGCGTAGGCGCTGCATTTAACTGGGTTCTTTCGGTAAGAAAGAAAAAGCTGAGAATTGCTGGATTCTTTGCATCGTTACCTTTTCAAACATATCTTTGTAATAACAGACTAAAGCCATCAATACGCTGCGTTCCATTATAGAGAAAAATTGCACAGATACTGCAGGTGTTGAGTAAATAAAATGATCGCTCTATTGACGGCATGTTTGTTTTTTGCAATCCTTGTGCACGTGCTAAATTGCATCAGCAAAAGCGCGCAAAAACTGTGTTCAGCCACCTTAAAAGGTTATCACACTGGATGTAAAACACATCCTTAGATGCTAACCACTGTACCTGTGTCGAGTAACGCAAAAATCTTAGTGTTTCTCTCGACCCAGGACTATAAATGACAAATTGTCAAGGCAATAGAAATGGCCTGGTTGTGATAATTTGACAATTTTCTCTGCCCTCAATAACAAGAACAGACTCAGCATTCACAACATATAAAATCTGAAAAAAAAAAAAAAAAAAAAATGCAGGAATGTGAAGTGATTACAACACTTACCATGGGTGGTGGAGGATCTTGTTCACTTGCCACTTCCAGGTGATCAGGTTTTGAGACAACAGCCTGCAGGAAAATGCTTGACACTTTAAAAACTTAGCACAGATATGTTTGCCAAACTGTACAAAAGAAGAACACTAACCTCTACTTTACACCAACTGACTGGATGTTGAGGAAGTTCTTGAGAGAAAAAAAAGACATTAAAATGAAATTAATCCTTGGAGTAAATATCTCATTTGCTAAGATCAGCATCTTGCTTCTCTTAACATTGACAGTACATTCTCAAGTAGACTGGTTATGAGAATAAAGAACATCATCATACTCACGAGGAAACTTGATAGTGAGCCAACAAGGACCTTTCATCTTACGACTAAGGAGAAGGAGCTCAAGACTGCAACCAAAAAGAAGAACATTTCAAATTTTCCTTTTAAGCTGGAAGGCCTTTTCTTTCAAATCAGAGGCTGAGATTCTTACCTAGATGTGTTAGTGCCAAACACATGGCTGAAAGTCTCTCCAGACAAGTCAGATGGTAACTGGGGAGAATCCGCCTGCCAAGAGATAGTGAGAATGATAATGAAAAATGAGACAATCTATAAAGGGTTGATGCTTACAGACCTTACAGTGTAAATGTAAGTTGATTATGAACAGTTGAACCCTGCTATTTTCAACTCTAGAAAGAAACAAAATATAGTTCAAAATAGTGGGAGTTCGCAATAACCAATAGCAAATGACTGAAGGGCAAATCCGAGGAAAATGGTTTTGACTTTGAAATACTGGGGAATTTGGAATAGGCGAGTTCAAATTAGCAGGGTCCAAATGTAATTGTAATTAGATTCAGTGAAGAGGTTATTTAGCCATCAGAACACAAGAAGTTTGTCATCAAGACATTAGCCCCTAGCCTGTGTCTAAAAGGTTGCAAGTCAAAATTCTAACGAGTAGAATTCTTTTAACAAATCACTCTATTCAAACAACTTCGCTAGAGATCCAGGGCTTTTATTAAGGGCCCAACACTGAGCAAATTGACTGGCTTTGAGGACGAATCTGCCTACCTGGTTTGACCATCTAGACGAAAGTGTTTTTTTAAGGGTGCTGCACACTAGCTGATTTTTTGTCGCCGACAAAAAATCTTCACTTGTCGCCTAGTAGGCAGTGAATTTAGACAAGTCTGCGACAAGATCGGGGCCTGTCCAGCGATATCTGACAGTGTTACATCTCAAAACGTCTTGTTGGGCCTTGTCGGCTAGTGTGCGGTGGACCAAGACAATTTGTTGGTGCTCGCGCACCTCAACCAATTAGGAAATAGGCGCCAATTAGGGAGTAGGCGCCATCTTGATTTTGGATGACTTGGCCCCAAGCCTCAACGCGGTTAGTTGTGACAAAAAATCGGCTAGTGTGTGGCAAGCTGATGGCCTGACAAATTTTAACCTGATTTGACCCAGACAAAAAATCTGCAGTTCTACGACGGAAAATCAGCTATTGTGCGGCAGCCTTCATAAAGAAGTTCGATGAAAAACGTTTTGTCTGCCTGTGAAAATCAGTTGCCCTCCTTCTGAAAATGTTAATGAAACTTCTGGAAATCCCTTAATTTCACAATATCATCACTTGCAGTTATCCCAGAAATGAAATTATCACAAGGCAAATATCCCCTTCAGTTTAAATAGAGTGGCTAGTAAAGATAGGTGGGGAACACTTTGATCTCACCACTATTACATTGCAGGGCTGTCACTTAGTCTTTAGTCACCTGTAACCTTATTCTCCACACCCGTAGCAAATTTGTTACTTCATGGGTAAATTCTATCAACAACAGGCAATTTCACCTGTAACATCAAGGGAAAATAAAGCATACTCGGCCGTAACAGGTTCTATGGGTTGCAGCCCTTAATGACAGCCCTGCACCGGTCCAATTCATTAGCTTTTTTTTTATAACCAAAAACATGAATAAACATACCACAAGAACGTCTGGATCAATTCTGTGAATCTTGGCCATAAATAATCCAAGAAGAGCTCTCTCTGATGTCGTGATCTCCATTTTAATTTTCTAAAGAAACACAAATTAGGAATTCCACAGATTACTGTTGAAAATTCAACTTACCACCAAATCAGTTCATTATGTATTACTACCTGCTTTTGCATAATTTATTCATGATGTATTATAATGTATGCAATATGTATTATAATTCATTACCCTTTTCCTGAGAGCATCTTTGAAGTCGTAAGGGTACATCTGATCACTCGGTTTGCTTACAGCTGCAAAAGAAAAGTACAGTTGTTACCACTTCTTTATTTGTGGTTGAGTGAGTGGGGGAGGCACTTGTAAACCATACATGCATCTCAATCCTTTTCAACAACCAATTTCCCCTTTACATGAAGACACTGCCTAGAATACAATTTGAGGGCACTGTCTTGATGAAACACTGAATTCTCAGAACTGATGGTAAGATAAATTACTGCAATCAGTATGGAGAATTTGAAATTTAGCTTTGAATTGTAAGGGCCAAGAGAAAAATCCAAAAATAATGTGTATGCTTGTCACTTTGCTTCATATAAAAAAAGTACAATAAAATCCTAAACCCTGCATGTTTTGACAGAAGGAATTGTCTATTGTGCAGTTCCAAAAAATATCCATACCCTCCCAACAGAAGGGATTGGAATTTTCCTAGCAGGTGGGGGTTCTCTAAGAACAAAGAATTCAAAGAAATGTATGAAGCTTTGTTGGAAATTCCAAAAGGGTGGGGACGGGGGGGGATCTTAGACAAAATCTCCTCTGTGGGGAGGTATGGATATTTTCTGGGACTACACCTTGAACTTACCACAAAAATGATACTGGAACTTCTGTTTTGGTGCTGCTTTGTCTGGTGACACTTCATGATGTACCAGAGCTGACACAGCCAAGATCTAAACCATGAAAAAAAANACAATCTATAAAGGGTTGATGCTTACAGACCTTACAGTGTAAATGTAAGTTGATTATGAACAGTTGAACCCTGCTATTTTCAACTCTAGAAAGAAACAAAATATAGTTCAAAATAGTGGGAGTTCGCAATAACCAATAGCAAATGACTGAAGGGCAAATCCGAGGAAAATGGTTTTGACTTTGAAATACTGGGGAATTTGGAATAGGCGAGTTCAAATTAGCAGGGTCCAAATGTAATTGTAGGCCATCAGGCTTCTGTTGTTTATTTATGTGGTTATATATAGCGGAAAGTCAATCAATATTAAAATGTTTATGACTTACTGAATATCTGACTTCCAGGTACTCAGACATGACAGGAACATCTTGAATCTCAAAAGCATAAGCCTTTTGAACTTTCTAAAATGACAAATAATATAGAAAACCACTTAAAGATTAAGCACATGTGTGTTAAAATAAAAGGTGAGAGACCAAATGAATGAAAAAAAAAGATATTTAAAATATGAATATAGTGGAACCACATTTCAGGACCACAGAAAAAAAATGTGGAAAAACAAAGCTCAAACATATCAATCAACAGGTTCTTGGGGTGTCTGGAAAACCCGCATAGCGAATAGCGAATAGTCCCAAATAGTGCGAATAGTCTCGAATAGTGCGAATAGTGGCGAACAGTTGCGAAAAGTGACGAATAGTGACGAATAGTCGTCAATAGTCACTGCTTTAGATCTAATATCCAGCGTTAATTAATCATCCAAATAAGCAACAGAATTTCAGTGAATTTACTATCTTTTGTTCTCCAGACTCAGACTAGTAGGCTGTCCATCACTGACATTAAGAAAACAGAAAACACAAGGATAACCTAATAAAGACGTATTTACGCTTTTGCAGCGGTTAAAACAGAAGAAATTACCTTTAGAAACACCTTTTGTCCTGATAAGCATCTGTGCTTTTTAGTGGAAAAATCCCATCCTAAGTTGCCACGAGGTTAACTGTGAGATACTGGGTACCGTATTTGTTACTATTTGCCACTATTCATCACTATTTGAGACTGTTCACCACTATTCGCTCTATTCATACTATTCGCTATTCGCTATTCGGGACTATGCGCTGTTCGCTATTTGCGACTATTCGCTATTCGCTATTCAGGTTTTCCAGACACCCCAGGTTCTTGCGAGTACTGACTGATACAATTTAAACATGTATCCCTCAAGAACAATTTCCATGAATCATGTGTACTAAAGGCATCCGCAGTCGAGTGATGATTTATACCCTCGATTGACCCATGATCAACATCTTGATCGACATCCTGATTGACACTTAGTGTCGACCAACTCATATGCATCAATCGAAATTAGTTGACTCTTGACCGACTGTCAACCGAGTTGTCAATCAAGTGTTGATCAAGTGTCAACTGAGGAGTATCAATTGAGTATCAATTGAGGTTCGATCGCCGGTTTCAATTGACATTCGACCTTGGATGCCTTTAGTACACATGATACAATTCCTCAAGGCTCAAGAAGTAATACAAGCATACATTTAAAAAATTTTGCACAAATTCTAGTCAAAAGTAATAAATAAATAAATAAATAAATAAATAAATATACATTTATGTAGCGCCATCTTCCACTAATTGTCCATGGCACTTTACAATACTTTAAAATCAAAATCCTAAGTTTAAAATCCTAATATTAAAATCCTAATATTAAAATCCTAATATTAAAATCCTAATCCTTTAAAAATCTAAAATCCTAAATCCTGAACGTTAAAATCCTAAGAATTAAATACGCTATATGTTACCCTGGAGATGAACTTCATGATTTTATGTTTTGTCGCAATCTTCTCATTGAATTCCTACGAGAAAATAAGTTAACGTAAGTGTCATTTTAAACCAAAAGATTGTGCTAATTAAGGCATGACTCCCTGTCAGTTTTAGATGTAGTAGAGTGTATTAAAAGAAAAAAGAAAGCAAGTAAAGGCATTACAAAAGAAACATTTATTCACCTGGTAAACATCAATAAATCCAACGGGTTCATTTGTCTCAGAGCCATCAACGTCACGCTTCTGTTTGTTAAGTAAACAAGTACAGTTAGGAAGCTGAAAGCAATGCTAATATAACCTTTCAGCAAAACACTGACATTTATTTTGTTCCCACTGGCTGGAAGAACACAGCTTTTAATTTAAATCAGTAAGAAAAGCAAACCCACATCATCTTTATCTTTATCTTTATCTTTAATAAGTATACTCCTTAAACAGTGGAACTATACTAGGAGTTTAAAATAACATAATAAAAGCACGTAACACGTACATGTGTGTACTACAGGCATCTGCAGGTGAGTGTTGATTGATACCTTCGATTGGCAGCTCAATTGACACATGATCGGTGTCCCGATTGATACTCAATTGACAATTGAGCAACATCTCGATTGACACTCGATCGACACTCAATCAACAGTCGGTCGATAGTTGGCTGAGTGTCAACCAACTCACATGCATTGATAGAAAATTAGTTGTTACTCTCGACTGCCTGTCAACCGAGATGTTGATTGAGTGCCTACTGAGTGTCAACAAGGTGTAAATGGAGTATCAATCAAGTGTTGATCAAAGGTATCGATCTAAGCTATTGATCTACACTCGACCAGACGTCTTTAGTACACATGATCTGCAAACCCTAATATATGTTGTTTCTGGAGAATAGCGAACTTTATGGAGAATCTAAAGAAACTGCCCTTGAGAATCAGGGACTCAGGGCCAGTTGTGAATAAGTGTCAAAAAACAGCCACTAGTATCAAACCTTTTCTCTTGGAAGAATGAATATTTGTCTCTCGATGTTCTTGACTGCCACTGAACAACTGAAAGTAAAGATTAAAAAGCATTAGTTGCAAGTTGCAACATTCTTCTTTTTTCCTGATTATTAGCATGATTTTGTTTTATTAATATAATTTGCAAATAAAATTGATGCTATACCTGACATATGCTTTAGCTGATTCAATCCAAACTTTGCCAAACAGGTAGACAGTACCTGAAAAAACAACACGATGAACTTAGTACATTATATCTAGATATGTTGATTTCATGCCATTAGCAGTAAATGGAGTAATAAACACATCTGTCGAATGGACTGAACTTAACGTTTGAACTTTGTTATTATTATAACTTTGCCTGCCATGCGGTCATGTCATAAATGTATGCGCAGGCAAGTCACATGGAAAGTACTGTATGATCGGATCGTCATATTGAAATATAGTTGCATTTGATTATCAAGGTGCTGTTCCTTGTTTGTCCACTTGCCTTCATTTCACTGATCCCCTCAACTATCAGACTGTTGCCTAAAGACCTGCACGACAACATCTAAATACCTGGTTGTTTGAATCTATCCTCATAAGCATCAAACCAGAAAAACTTGAGGACTTTTTCTCCTGAAATGTCAAGACATAGAAAATTACAATCCTTAAAACTCCCTCTAAACACTATGCTTTAAAGGAATTGCTTCACATTATGAAGTTCCAGAAAACATCCACACCCATCCCTATGAAAAGTCATTGGAAATCCTGAGACGTGGGAAGGTCTCAAAAGCCAAAAATTTGAAAAGAAAGCATGGTGTGAAACTAGAGTTTCTGGAGGGGAGGGGGGTTCAAACCAAAAAAACTTCCATGGATAGGGTATGGATATTTTCTGGAATAACACAAAAGGAGACAGTCACCTACAAACTGGTCATATTAAAAATCCATTGAAAATTTGATGCAAAAATGATAGACTACATGTACATTGCTCATATTGCTAGTGTTTAACTGTGATTTTTATAGTATAAAGCAACTAAGAGTACTTAAGCCCCCATCCCCATCCCCAACCCCCTGAATTAGATGTTGGTCCATTGCAGGTTAACTTCCCCCTCCCAGGATTCTGCACAAAACAATTCACTTGTACCCATGTTCTCTTAGGTGGACAGAGGCACTGTGAGAGTTCATGTCTCTCTCAAGAATGGACCATAAAGATATACTGCTAGCCAAGGTTCAAACCTAGAACCTTGGATCTTGTACACAAAAAATTGGTTCAGTGTGTCTTCGACAAAACATTGCACGTAAGAACTACCAGAAAGTCCTCTTAGAGATGAACACAGACAATCCAAACTGAAACAAGACCAGCTGTAATGGACTGTGAAACTAAACTAACCATCGATTTCCTGAAGTGGCAGGGAAGAAGAATCCACATTGACATCCGTCAGAACCTTAAAATTAAAAGATGGGACAATTAAACATTAACAATACGAAATCAAAAAACAAACAAACAAACAAACAAATCTAAACTACAAAAAATAAAACATGCTATATGTAACAAACTACAAAAAATGTAATATGCCATACAAACATGTATATCATAACAAAACTATTACAAACTGGATTTGGATAATGCAATTTGAGAGTTTTCATTGGGTTATGAGCAATTACACCATGCTCTATGAATATGGTAAGCATACTTGTGATTTTTTTGGGCATTTTTATTTTTATTTTAGTTTAGTTTTCTATATTTTGGGAACATTTTCAATAAAACAATTACTCCACTCGCACTTGTGGATATGAGGTGAGTTTAGCCAACTAGGCACTATGTGCCTTGTTGGCTATCTACCATTTCATATCCAATGCATGCCCCTGGAATAATTATTAAATATTTCAGGTACAGTAGAACCCCATTGATCAGGTCACCAATTGGCCACAAAAATCTGGTAGTATTNAACCCCCTGAATTAGATGTTGGTCCATTGCAGGTTAACTTCCCCCTCCCAGGATTCTGCACAAAACAATTCACTTGTACCCATGTTCTCTTAGGTGGACAGAGGCACTGTGAGAGTTCATGTCTCTCTCAAGAATGGACCATAAAGATATACTGCTAGCCAAGGTTCAAACCTAGAACCTTGGATCTTGTACACAAAAAATTGGTTCAGTGTGTCTTCGACAAAACATTGCACGTAAGAACTACCAGAAAGTCCTCTTAGAGATGAACACAGACAATCCAAACTGAAACAAGACCAGCTGTAATGGACTGTGAAACTAAACTAACCATCGATTTCCTGAAGTGGCAGGGAAGAAGAATCTACATTGACATCCGTCAGAACCTTAAAATCAAAAGATGGGACAATTAAACATTAACAATACGAAATCAAAAAACAAACAAACAAATCTAAACTACAAAAAAATAAAACATGCTATATGTAACAAACTACAAAAAATGTAATATGCCATACAAACATGTAGATCATAACAAAACTATTACAAACTGGATTTGGATAATGCAATTTGAGAGTTTTCATTGGGTTATGAGCCATTACACCATGCTCTATGAATATGGTAAGCATACTTGTGATTTTTTGGGGCATTTTTATGTTTATTTTAGTTTAGTTTTCTATATTTTGGGAACATTTTCAATAAAACAATTACTCCACTTGTGCTTGTGGATATGAGGTGATTTTAGCCAACTAGGCACTATGTGCCTTGTTGGCTATCTACCATCTCATATCCAATGCATGCCCCTGGAATAATCGTTAAATATTTCAGGTACAGTAGAACCCCATTGATCAGGTCACCAATTGGCCACAAAAATCTGGTAGTATTAACAGGCTGGCCATATTTAAGGGGTTCTTTAAATAAGAAAATGACTGACTGAGGTTTTGTTTGGGCCAGAATAAAGTGGCTGTAATAATGAGGTGGCCGTATTAACAGGGTGACCATAAGGTGGGTTCCACAGACTGCAGTTTCATTTCAATCTTTTTACCTCTTGCTGATGTGATTCCTCATTTCCCAAGATTGTTTCCCAAGCAGAATCACCAGGAATTTCTGTTGTTCTGGATAAATACACACTCAATTCAATAATTATTTTTATATCGTGACAAATCAAGGTAGAGATACAAAAATTTCATGAAACAGTGCACAGATAAGTTTGTTTTCAATAAAGTACTTTGAAAACAAATTCAAAAATTTTGTAAAAGAAAAAATGCAACATATATAACCATACAATTTTTTTTTGACATATTTATTTTTAATCAAAGCAATCTAAAATAACTGTACATACTTTCTTGGCAAAGCACATTTTCTCTCACTCTGTCTCTCGCTTGCCTCAACCTATGATGGCAAAGTAATAAACATTTTAATTCTCTTATGATTACAGCCTGAAATGTTTGCTGCAAACGAGATATTGATCACCCTTCCTTCTGTGATACCTTGATTTGTACGTGGGGTTTCTCATCATGACTATTCTCGGCATTTGTCAAGGCCTGAATTGCTTCCGCATCACCAAGATCGTCATCATCACCAAAGTCGTCACACCCTGCATCAACCTCTCCCATGTCATTTACAGCAGGAACATCTGACATAAGTTTTACAAGAAACTCAATTATAAGTGTAATGTAATTTTTGTCTTAAATTACATTTTAGGATTTAGTTTACAAGATCAGTCTCTCTATTGTGATTTTTTGACTTTACCATCCATTCCCGAATCTGTGTCCATTGCTGCTCCATATCCTTCCTCCTGTCCTTCCCCCTCAGGGTCTCCTACCATGCCACTGTACCTCCCCTCCCTTACTTCAAATGGCTCAGTTTTGACAACTGCCCTCCTCTTCCCAGGCAGGCTTGTAGTGTGGCTATATTCAGGTGGAGATTTAGGTTCAACTTTAAAAATATTCTGTCTTCGGTAGGATGATTCCTGTCAATTTTAAAAGAAAATCCAAGGTCAGAAACAAGTTACATAGCAGAAATTTATTGCACTAATATGTTCTCACGGGATGAACATTTGAAAAAAGAGTTGGGGCTAGTGAGTAACATCTCAATACTGTGAACTACGCAGATCATGTTTACTGTAGGTAGTGTTGGTCGACACTATTGACCAATATATCAACCGACACTTGGTTGATAAGTTGGCCGAGTCTTGGCCTTGTTATGGCCGATTGTTGACTGATACATGGCCAATATATTGGCCAAAAATCAGTTGAGTATTGGTTGAGTGTCAGCTTAGTATCAGTTGAATATCCATTGATACGTCGGCCAATGCGAGTGTCAGTCGAGTGTTGGTCAAGCAAAGGCCACCATGTTGACTGATACTCAATCAACATTTGACCAATACTTGACCGATTCTCAACTGACACTTGACCAACTATCAGTCAATATATCAGCCGTGTATTGGACAAGTGTCGCCTGACACTTGGCCTACATATTGATAGTTTCAGTCAATATATCGGTCACTGACACTACCTACTAATGGTAAACACGATCCAACTTTGTTTAAGTCCCTTTTTATGTGCCAAACCACAAAGGCAGAGCAAAGTACAAAAAAAAAGTGCAGTGCAGTGGGAAATGAATGTGCAAAGATAAAAAATTACCTGGAGTCGTCTTGGTGTGACATGACTTGAAGAGACTGCTGTTGGGGTTCTGGAGCAAAAATAAACAGGGTCAGCATATCAATCATATATCAGTGTAAACAAAACTTCAATTTACAGGCGTAAAATATTCTTTCTCCTTACTGATCATATAGCCATATAAACATATTTAATATTAGTTCCATTGCTTTTGTACTAAAGTGGTGATGAGAAAACACATATCGATCAGTTTTATCAGAATTACCTCAAAACTGGAGCCTTGCCCTTTGACATTTTCACTGGAGCTGGTTTTGGGTGCTTTATTATTGAAAAGAAAAATTTAATCAATAACAAACAAACTGAAGTGTTAGAGATACCATAAATTCGATTTTTTATTACTTATTTCCCTATAGCTCATCATATTCATCAATTCACACTCAAGTTACCATAAGTTCGTGACCATTGCCATTCTTTGTTTCAATTTCTGATCAATCACATTTGGTCAGACAGTTTGTACCAGTACATATTGGCACAACACAAAACAATTTGTCAGCTTCATAAAAGACAATTCCATAATCCAATGAATAGTTTTTGTTCTATTGCTAAGTACTCATAAAATTTTACAGGCACTTGAAAAAATACAGCCTTGTCCTCTCAGAGAGATTTCTGATGCTTGAAGAAAGATTGGATCATGTGTACTAAAGGCATCGGCAGTAGAGTGTCGATCAATGCCCTCGATCAACATCTGACTGGTACTTGATGGACATCCCAATCGATATGTGGTCGACACTCGATCGAGACTTGATCAACAGTCAGTTGATAGTCCGCCAAGTGTCGACTGACTCATGTGCATCAATCAAAAATTAGTCTACCATCGACCGAGATGTTGATGGAGTGTCAATTGAGTGTCACCCAAGGTGTTGATAGAGTGTTGATCGAGGGTATCGATCGACACCCGACCGTGGATGCCATCAGCACATATGATTCAAAAGATTTGTGGGTCCAATTTTAGACTGTCATACCTCAACTTCTTTTAGGAGATCATTTAATAAGTTGTCTTCACCAAGAGATGTCACCTCATTCTGCAAAAGTGATAACAAATTAGAATTCTGGTTTCAACATCCTTTTTGTTACTTGCAAGTTGGCCTCTTCTTTTCATTTCCTGGATGACTATTTTAGTGAGCTATAATTTTTTGATCAACACTAACCAAAAGCCAATGAGACATTGCTATTATGGCAAGTCATCTGAAAACCAACCTTCTATGAGTATAGAGCTCCTGCAACCAAAGGCATACTGTTATATGCAATAAATTACTGTTATTGTGACTGCAGGTTAAGACCTCTACCTTTGGTTTCTTTGCTTTTGCACTTGCAGCTAACAACATTTTATTTATTGACTTTGGCTTGACGGTTGGCTTCTTAACGTTCTACAAAAGAGGAAATAAATAAATACCCATAACAATAAAGAAATATATGTCTAAATAATGTCCTAGAATATTTCAAGCACTATTTTCTACTTACCGGTTTCTTAGGCTTGAATTTAGGAACATTCTTCCCTGTAAGTCAAATGAAAGCAAAATAAAACTCTTGTGGTTCATACTCCTGGGTGGAGAGAGACTGTGAGATTAAAGAGAAACAAAAAACACAACATTGTGACCCCAGCCTGTGCTTGAACCCAGATGACAGTTCAGCGCACTAACCATTTATATCATGCACCTGCCAAATAACTAAATGAAATTGATTAACTGACCGGTTGATGGTCCATCTTCAAGATCGTCATCAAATATTTCTCTTCCATCGTCCACATATCCAGTCCCGTCTGAAAAGTAAGGACTATTTTAAATTTTAAACCCTTTAAGCAGGCCTCAGTTGTTCAGTAGTTGATACTCGATTGACACTTCATCAACACCTTAGCTGATACTCAATCGACATTCCACCGACATCTGGGTCGACAGTCAATTAATTTTCATTCAATGCGTATGAGTCAGTTGATACTTGGCCAACTATTGACTAAGTGTTGATAAAGTGTTGTTTGAATGTTGACCAATTATCAATCAGAATGTCAGTCGAGTACCGATTGAGATGTTGATTGAGGGCATTGATCAACAATTGACGACAGATGCCTTTAGTACTCATGATCCAAAAACAGTATCCACCAGATAAATTAATATCAAGTGGACAGTTTATTGTCAACACTTATCCACTAATGGATAGCGAATTATCTGGTGGATAGCAGTATCCATCCTTTGTTCAACTGAGCCCAGAATGTCTGTTTTCACATGCTCAAATTTTCTCCCACTTAAGACATGCCAGAGATTTGAACCTAGAAATTCTATAATGGTGACATATGGATAAACAATGAAAGATAGCTAAAGTAATGGGTGCTTCTTGTGGTAAACAGGAATTTTGGTGGAGTATAAGGATGATTGAGAGGCCACCCAAGTCAAGTGCAGTGGGAGAGTTATGACTCTCTCCTGGGGCAGATCTAGGGGGGTTCTGTTGAACCCCTATATTAAAACAAATGAGATATTATAAAACCCTGACTTGGCCTCAAAATGCTGGAAATCCCATTTTGAAGGACCTCAGTCTTAAACGCTTCCCAAGGGAGGATGCCCCTGGAGCCCCGGGGGGTGGACTCCTATATAAAAAAGATGGGGCTGCCTGTCGGAAATTTTGAAAAGAACCCCTAAGAGCTACCAAGATCCTGTTTTGTAGGCGTGGCTTAAACTTTTTATATCCCCCAAGAGGTACCAATTCCTACACAACACATTACCTCCTGTCATATTTTTTCAGCTCAATACCCTAAAAGGTATCACAAAAGCTGCCACTGTGGACCTTCTGAGGCTTAACACCCTAAGAGGTACCAAAACTGTGTTTTAACCCCTAAAACGTACAATGAGCAACCCCATCATTTTTATATGGGAGTGCCCCTGAGTCCAGGCCTGGAGCCCCCTACAGGGGAACTACAGTCCCCCCTACAGGGGACTGTCTTTGGTGGCCATATCTTGAACTCCTACTCTAAAATCCTCTATCCGCCCCAGCTCTCTTTTTGCCTGCCTCACACTGCACCATAGTCAATAGAGGGGAATGGTTATGAAACGCCACGGAGTTCTTTGTCCTATTCTTTTGTTCACTTTTTTGGCCTTGACCATGCACAAAACACAATAGCCGTTTACTTCTGACTGAGGAACTAACCAACAGAAATGTTTTGGTTGTGCCATCATGGCTAATGTATAAGCGAGAAATAAAAGATTGTGCACGGTTGTGGACCTTCTCACACAAAATCTTGCCACCTTTCTTTGCTCCTTCGATATTCGCTGGACTTCATAACCATTCCCCTCTTTTAACCATGACTGCACCAAGAAGCCCACAAATCACCCGATTCCTAGGCTATAAGCTGATAGAGGAGTTTCCATACCGTCGTCAATAACCCAATCTTCTTCCTGACGTTTTCTAACAATGTCGGAGTACTCATCTTCATTAACCACCTGATAAACATCCTCCAATTGACCAACCTAGTAAGGAGAATCTAAGTCATTATCAGGGGAATGCAATTTTTCCAGACTGATCCATGTCCATTTTCACCTTACAACCATCAATACATTGCAACAGTCTGTGGTGATAAGAATGATGAAATGAAGGGATAAACTGTCTCGATTTACCAACAAATTCTCATAACAAAGCAAAGCTAAAGTAATGAGAAATTGATTCTAGAAGATCATCACGTTATGGAGGATTTTACAATCTTAGTGTACGGTTTGAATTCTTCCGATGAGTAAAGCCGAATCGCCAAACTTTAACCAAATTAGTTTACAAAATATTGCCGAAGATTTGTCTCAACATCACATTACTTTGATTAACCTTATTCAAAAGTAGTTAAATTGTACATTATTCAAGATTTTTTAAAACTAAAACAGCGCTATTTGTAAATTGTTTCAGACTACATAAATGTCTTACTTCAAACTTCGATCTCTCCCCAGTCTGACGGAATTTTCTAGTGGAATCATAAAAAGTGCATTAGCAAATTGTGCGATCTTTAAAAAATTAATAAAAATCAGCACATCGAAAAGGAGTTTAATCGAAGAACCTTATTTTGTCGAGTGCAGAGGTTGCTCCAGCACTGCGTTTTACTGATCTTTTTGATCGCCTGGATGATTGAGAATCTGCAACATGAAGAGAACACATTAGTCGTAAATTGAATCAGTTTTGTTTTCAAACAAGAAAAATATCAGTATGCGGCAAGATTATACCATCTTGGTTAGTAGCTGTCGCATCATCTCCCGTGGAAGTTGGCGCCATCTTGAAATGACTTGTTGAAAATGGCGCGAAAGAGAGATGGAATGGTCTTATTCCATATATGGAGACTATAGGAAAAATTCTGTTCCAGGTTGGTAGGGTAGGGATTTTGGGTCAAGAGTTGTAACGCTACATTTTTTTATTTGGCGATCTCTAGATCTCGCTAGATCTGGACTTGTGGGACCTTTCTCCTCCCAAAAGGTGTGAAAGGTAAGTTAATTTAAAAGAAAATTAAAGTAATTGATTTCCGGTAAATATTTCAATCAGCTCTAATACACCTGTCAATGGTTTCCCCCAGCGGGGGATCAGGCATACCCACGGGGCTAGGCATAAAATTGAAGAAGGACTAAGCCCGAAACGTTTAGATTACCAGCGGATGTTTGACACTTTTATATCTGATTTATCAGCAGTGTCACGCATCCTATGGGTTTTTTTGTTTATTCCTACGGAATGAAATTGTCTCCCCTGGGTTGGGAGTTTGACAAGACTGTGTTGCCCAAGGACCAAGAAGATTGTTAACATTGGGTTGATGGGGACAGTAGAAGTACCATACAAACCATAAGACCTACCTTCAAGCCTGACATTTTGGCGCGTACCTGATCGTAGACGTTGAAAAGGTGAGTGATGAGTTTATATTTTCCATATTTCTCCGATCTTTTATGTTATGATTAACAACTTTTCTTCTTTGCACTATCAGCCGATAGATCGAGTTTTCGCCTGCTGGTGTTAAGTAAAGTAATTTGGATGTGATTTAAACCGTGTAAAATTTGCCAATTTTGCTTGGTGTGGAAGCTTATCTAAGCTCATCTCAATGCAATCTGATTTTCTGTTTTCTTTCTTCTCTGTGTTTAGTTTTCTGACATTTAAACTCGACAACAGTTACCTTCATCATTGAACAAGTTGACGTTTGACGATATTAATATGATTTTTTTAATTGAGTTGTTTTGATATTTTACGGAATTTCCCTAGGGTGGGGGACTTTGTATGGAAATTTTTGCCCCAGGGTGAAAAAATTGACCAAAATTTGAGGAGAAATGTCAAACTGCGTGGGTATGCCCTATACCGCCCCTGGGGGAAACCATTGACAGCTGTATAAAACACTGGCTTGTAGGCAAACTAAGTAAACGAGCCTGAACGTTGTATTCTTACTTAAATCAATTGGCCATTGTGATTTCTAGTGTAACTGATGAGTGGAAGATGAGCGGTGATACAAAGTATGATGTTGCAGTCATTGGCGCTGGGATTTCTGGAATTGTAACAGCAAAATGTCTTCTGGATGACAAATTCAAGATCATTGTTTATGAGAAGACTGGGCACATTGGAGGCCTGTGGCAGTTTACAGAAGATGGATACGGAGTCATGAGCTTTACCCATATGTATGTGTAATCAAGGATTCCTTGATGGATAAAACGCTAACAAGGGCATTGCTAGGGTGTGGGAGGGGGGGTCCTGGGGTTCCTCTGACCCCCCTTTCGTAAGCCTTTTCTAAGCAAACAACCTTCAGCAAGTGACGACCATGACGATCTGGTGAGCACCCTCACTTTGACATAGTGTGACCCCCCCTTTGAAAAATCTTTGCTATGCCCCTGTGCCAGAGGTGTTCAAGAACTACTGTGAATCCTCTCTTAGCTGCCCCCTTCCCTTTCAAATTAGCAAGCCCCTCCTTCTTTATCAAGTACCCCGTGGTAACTTTTCTTTATTACCCTCATGGCCTCTCTGTTGAAGTTTTTCCACATTTTCACCCAGACTAAAAACCTACTATTACCCCCTACTCTGCCCCTGAAGGTCCAATGACAGTTAACATGCAGGGAGACTCTTATCTATTGGGACTCAGCAGAGGGACTGCAAGATGGGAGCAAATACTTAGGGTGGGAGGGAGGGTAGTCAGAAAAGACATCAATGAATGTCTGAAACAAAAGAACAAATTTTACCAGAAGGGAAAGCCATGGGTTTAAGTAGAGTATTCCCGGATCATGTGTACTAAAGGCATCTGCTGTTGAGTGTCCATTGATACCCTTGATAGACAATTGACACTCGATCAACACTCGATCAACATCTCGATCAACATCTCGGTTGACAGTCGACTAATTTTCGCAGACACGTCATCAAGTGTCGATTGATACATGAGTCAGTCAACGCTCTGCCAACTATCGACCAACAGTCAATCAAGTGTCAATCAAGATGTCAATCTGGTGTATATCAAGATGTTGATCTAGTGTTAATCTATTATCGACCAAGTATCATTCGAGATGTTGATTGAGTGTCGATAACGGGTCGATCTAGGGTATCAATCAACACTTTTTTTTATAATAAAGTTTTTTTATTACGTTTGCTTATACTTTCAATCAACACTTGACCTTGAATGTCTTAGGTACACATGATCCCAATTCCCTTGGGGATTTCCGTCTCTGATCTACCCAGAAAGAATGGCTTAATTTGAGAACACAGATTTATCAAACACTTTGTTTTCTTCCTTGTACAGCAATGTCTCCAAGCATAACTACTGCTTCTCTGACTTCCCATTTCCTGATGATGTGCCTGATTACCCACACCACACCCACATGGCAGAGTATATCAACAGCTATGCTGAACACTTTGGTATCAAGGATCATATTAGTTTCAGTACCAAAGTGGTTAGAGTTGAAAAAGTCTCTGAGGGGTGGAAAATAACATCTGTCAAAGTTGACAATGAAGGAAAAGATCAACACATCTACAAGGAAACATTTGTCAAGTTTGTTGCCATAGCAACTGGGCATCATGCCAAGCCAAGCATGCCACATTTTGATGGCCAGGAAACATTTCCTGGGAGAATTTTTCACAGTGTAGAATACAAAAATGCCACAAGTAATGGTCTTGTGGGAAAGAAAGTTGTTGTAGTAGGAATCGGTAACAGTGCTGTTGATGTAGCCGTAAATGTTGTAGAATTAGGTGGTAAAAAGCCTGTAAGTATTGCTACAAGGTCTGGTGCATGGATTATACCCAATTATATCCTGGGTTTCCCAGCTGATCATTATGCTTGCCGCCTTTTCTTATGGCTTCCCTGGGGTTTGTCAAATTTTATCTTTGAATTTGTAATTAAGAGTGTGTCAGGGAGCCCATGGCAGTTGAATTTGAATCCCAAAATGCGTGCTCGTCAAACCCAGCCCACTGTTAGCCCCACATTAGTGCATCATATTCAGAGAAGAAATGTGATGGTAAAACCTAACATTGCAGCAGTGGAAGGTAACAAAGTTGTCTTTACCGATGGCACTAAAACTACCACAGACACAATAGTCTGTTGTACTGGGTATAAAATTGATTTACCATTTTTAGATAGTAGTTTAAAAGATCTGGTTGTAGAAGAAAATTCTAACAAGATTAAGCTATTCAAACATGTCTTTGTTCCAGAAATCGGAGCCTCTTTGGCATTTATAGGTTTTGTCCAGCCAACATCGGGTGGATTACTTTCAGTTTCTGAAATCCAGGCGAGATGGTTCTCTGAGCTTTGTAAAGGTGTGATCAAACTCCCATTGGTGGAAAAAATGCAGCAAGAAATTAAACAAGACCAGCAAAAAAATGAGAGCACCTACTTTGCGTCAGCTAGACACACCATTCAACAAGATCCTTTGAATTACAACGATGAAATTGCATCTTATTTTGGTGCGAAACCACAACTGTGGAAGCACCCATCTTTAGCTTGGCATTTGATTGTAAGTTCATGTGGTGCAGCTCAGTGGAGGTTACAAGGTCCACACAAGTGGAACAGGGCTAAAAACGTTGTGCATGCTGTTCCAATCACACCATTGATGCATTATGGCACCTTGTTTGTGCTTGTTTTATTACTCTTGATCATAGGTTTCATCATAGTTAAATGTTTTTAACTAATATCACATGAACCCCAAAGTTCATCTTGCTACATTTAAAACATTGTAATCAATTGCAATTAATTACATAAATAATTTTGTCATGTTATGCTATGGATCAATTTACATATAGAGTAACATATACTGTAGGAAATTAAGTCATTATAATTTATCATATTTGTTTTCTAGAAAGCAGTAAATTAAATTTGAATTTTAAATCATGATAGAACATTTCCAACATTATGTTAATCATTAGCGGTACTTGTTTTACTAGCAGAGGTATATGATATATTAAATACTAAGATTTGTTGCATGTGTTATCAGGTCCATCGACATTTCACACTTCACTTTGATTCTCCCTCTAAATTGCATCAAGGCTCAAAGAAAGTGCTGTCTGATTGTCCAGGACAAGCAAATTTTCCTGCTGGGCAATTGACTTTCCATTCTCGCCTGTTCAATGGGCACAGGCCCCAGCAAGTTGTCTTTAAACTAAATAACAATAATAAAAAAACAGTAAATTAAGACTTGCCAATGGCAAATAAAATGTAAGAGCTGCTTGTCCAAAGGGCAAGCTCCAATTCAAGTTTGTTTCGAGCCCTGTTGCATGCTTAACAAATTATACTTACCGGTATTACAAAGTTATATTGAAACCAAAGTGTAGTAAACATGCCAGAGGAACTTATCAGGTTTCTTGAACTGATCAGCAGGTTCACTTGTAAATTTCTCATGACAGATTATGTGACTTTTAGTGAGGTTACAAACATGGAGCATTTGCAGAATTCACATAAAATCATAAATAGAAAATATCAATAATCTTTTATTTCTAGTCCTTTTCAAAGGAACGACAATAGAAAATTAATTGATTTAACAATATTACTATTAATTTTTATCAGTTTCTTACAAAATCCACAAAACAAAGCATACATTTCACTGATATATTACAATATTTTTCCCAAAAGTACACTTAATATGAAAATGAATTCCCACATTTGTTATTAATAAGTTTAATATTCCATTGCAAAAAAACAATAAGACAGTTGATTTAATATTGATTCAGAAGTTAATAGAAAACTTAGAAATTGTGATTATTTTAAGCTACAGGTTCTTCTGCCAAATTTTGGCATCAATGTGTCTACACTTTTAAATGATGGTAGATTCAATTTTTTAAGTGTTGTACTTTTTAATTACAATGATGTTGTCAAGTCTTATAAATAAATAATTTCAACCTATCTTTTGTACAAATGTGTACAATTTGTAATAACAAATATGTCAAAATTATTTCTGTCAAATACAGTTTGTGTCATGTTAACGTTATACACACTTTCTCTTTTTTGATTTGTCATATACTGAGCTTCATCTGCACATTTAAAAGACAATTTGTATTACAAGTTAATGAACATTTCACCAAAGGAAATTTTACATATTTTTGTCTTTTTTTAGTTTCAAATATAATTGAAATTAGCTGATTGAAGGTCTGACAAGTAAAAAATAAATTGTATTACCTAAACTAAAATTCCCCTCCAATTTTCTGTCTGTAATAAATAATCATTAACTTGTCAGTCCCAATTATTTCACATCCTTGCTTGCTAACCTTTCTCACTACCTGATTATCATGATGTACATTAACAACCTGCTGTCAATCATAACCCAACAATGAAACAACCTTTTCCTCTCATTTTGCCGATGACTGATAACTTTGTCTTCAGGTTTTAATAAAATATATTATTTATCATTTGGATTTCATTATAACATCAAATGGCAAACTGAGGTGTCTCTGCTTCATTAAACTGCCAGATTAACTTTTTGACCACTAACATAATTGTCATCAATCTCGTCATCTTCATCATCGCTAATCTCTGGGTCCAGAGATAGGCGAGGAACTTTGGGCGACGATGATGGGGAGCAAGATGGAGACACGTCATCTGAAAGGTCCATGTTTCGTCCAGGTGACAATGCTCTCTTTATTCTTACCCCTGCTCCCTTTATACGTGCCCCTGCATCATATATTGTGTCCTTGCCTTTGCCAAACAACTGGTTCTGTGAAAGGAAGAATATATAATCTTTATTTATAAATCAATTAATAATAAGTTCTACAAATAAACTATAATTACAATGCAATAAATATTTAAACACTAATATTAACTGATGATTGTTACTATTCTGTATATTAGAAAATTACACATTGCTTTGGCACAGTGATAACATACTGGAAAAAGAATCCTTCATTTCTTTCTTCAAAAACACATTTCATCAGACTTTTTTTTTATACTAATTTGCAACTGATTTTTGAGTTAGTATTAATTTAAATAAATTTATTTTAATTATTTCTACAAAACAAAAAAAAATTAAATTCACTATTTCACAACAAAAAAAATTCAGTCCTTAGAAATAAAAAGAAAAATTTAAAAGTACAAAGTACCTTTAACAGAAGTTTATGACTTGGTTGTAGACTACGCACATCTCTTTACATAAAAGCATCAATGAGTTAAAGGTTACAACTGAGTTTTTATCATTTTCAAAGACTTTATGGTTTATTTTAGTTGACTAAAAAATAGTATATTTTATTAGCTCAACTGTTTTATTTCAAGAAATGTTTTAATATTTATCTTTACAATAAATTGACAAAGATTCTTTAACAAAAAATCACAGTTACGGTATGTAGCATTTTAGTTAACTGTTTATACAAAGATTGCTCCTTATAGCTTTATTATGTAAATTCTGTACTGTTCTGATGAAATATAATAAGTATCTCATTTGAATACCTTAAATTTTCTTATTGCTAATATTTTAGTTCCAGTTGAGAATAATTTAAGGTCTTCATTTATTTAGTGCATATTTGCAATAAATGACTACCACAAAGTTTCTCAGAGCACTTCTTTGTTACTGATGTACATAACATGAGTTTATTCATTCCTAAAATGTAAACTAAATTTATATTTTTATCATTTGCCTGAACTTTTTCAAAGTTTATTATCATTCATGGTTTAGTTATGTTATGCACTATATAGTTACTTTATCTGGGAGAGCTTATACTTAACAGCAAAAGGAACTTTTTGTTGCTGTTGTGATTGAAGCATTATGGAAATACAATTCACGAAAAAATCTTGTCAAAAGTTGTGCAAAAATATGTGACGACATATAACCAAGTGATTTAATGTTTAGAATTCAAATGGCTGCTACATAAAAATCATTGCCTTCAAACAGTTTACTTCCAACGAATGTGTCTCACAAACAGCTGCTTAATATATTACATACACCTAAATTCAAACTATACTACAAATATACTATTTAAATATTACAAAAGAAGACAGTTCAGTGATATAGAAATTCAGTTTTATGTGAATCGGTATATCATCCTACAGATCTGGCTTAATCGTTGTCTGTTGTGTTATTATTTTCATCTTGGAAAAGGTTTGTTGTTGAAAAAGACTTCACCAAGCTTACCAATCGACCATCCCTTCCAAACATGTCAATAAAACTGCCTATAAAGTCACGTGACTTCTCTTCCCACTTTTGAAGTATTTCCTGGGATTTGTCTGTTAGTTTTCCTTTGATTTCATCCATTTTCTGCCTGACTTGAACTTCTTTTTCCTACAAAAGATTTCCACTGACTTATTCATGTGTGCTGATTCCTTCAAATTTTGCTGTTGTAGTCACACAGGGGTGGAGATAGGGGATCGGGAGGGGGGTAGATTAGATGACTTGCCACCACCCTTTGGTAAAGCAAAAAAATAATATAAAAGATTGGGAATATTGAAGAAATAAAGACAAAACCTCTGGACAGGTACCTCACTGTAATTTCTAGTTTGTGGTATTATTGCTAATATTTCTGGTGTAACAGTTTTAAATTAGGTTCCAGTTCTCAAATTGTCACATTGTGGGGCATGCTCCATTGTGTAGTTCCAGAAAATATCCATACCTCCCCCACGGAAGGGATTTTTTCCTAGAACCCCCAACCCTCTGGAAATTCCAATTAAACTTGATACATTTCTTTAAATTTTTGGTCTTAGAGACCCCCACCCCCAGGAAATTCCAATCCCTTCTGTGGGGAGAGTATGGATATTTTCTTGTACTGCACATTGACTCTGCAAGCCCAAAGTACTAGCCATCACCACACCCCCCTCCCCTCTCTCTCTGAAAAGTCCTGGATCAACCCCCATCAATATCAGTATTAGCTTACTACTAAACATCATTCTGTCAGTGAAAATGAAAAGCCCAAAATTTATCATTAAATGGCCACCTAACTGATAACCACAGATCGTCAATAGTTGACTGACTACATTACACAGCATAACCTGTTTTTGTATGAAAAGTTTACCTTAATAAAACTGACATTCAGCTCTTTTGCAGTGTAACCTCTTGCCAAGTTTCTTCTGATGTAGACATCGTAATCTTTAACCACTCGTGCTATAAGATCAGAGGTTGAAATCCCCTCTGTCCTCTGGGTAGCTACAAACTTCCCCATTGCCTTCACCTCCTTGTATATATCATCTGCACCAGCACTCTTGTATGGCAGATCGTCATGAGCAACAAAGTCAATCTGAAACAATCCCGTCAAGCAAATTTCTCCTTACAAAATAATTAATTCTTAATTACCTAATTATTGTAGAGGCAAGAAAGAGTGCAAATAAAGATTGCCTTATATCAGCAAGGGAGGCGCGCTGGCCTCATGGTTAGTGTGTTTGACTCCAGATCAAATGGTCCAGTTTCGAGCCCTGGCCAGGGACATTGTGTTGTGTTCTCACAGTGCTTCTCTCCACCCAGGTGTATAAATGGACAATGGCAAATTTAATGCCGCAGTAACCCTGCAATGGACTAGCATCCTGTCCAGGGGGAAGTAGAAATACTCCTAGTCGCTTTATGCTACAGAAACTGGGATAATTAGCTCTGGCCCAATGAGTCACTTGGCTCATTTACAGACCTAACCTTACTTTTACCTTATGATGTCAACACTGCAGACATCAGGTAATTAGAAAATTAGGGTAGTGATATATGTGTTTTCATGAAGTCTTTTACACACCTTGTGGAGCTCCATGAAGTCGGGAGTAACTGACCATGGTGCATCACGGATAACCTCATCGACATAACGGCAGTGCCTGAGAGACTCATACCGCTCATCCTCAGTCATCACAGTAAATCCTTTGTATTGATGGGTCAACTCATCATTTGACACTGGGTGCAAGAAAATTTAGAAACAAATTGAAATGTATGCCAGTAACCAAGGTAGTCTTAGAGCCTAAAATACTTTTTGTCACTTTCCAAAAAAAAAAACAGACAATAGATGGAAGATAAAAATTAATTAGCTGGTCATCTCAGGAAAAGGAATAGATTGAAAATTAAATTCTCTTTTGGGTGTTTATAGAAAGAGCATTGAAAATTGATAGGGGAATTTGGCTTACGAGCAAGATCCAAGGTTTCACAGATACAGAAACTGCAGAAAAAAATTAAGCAAGCAATATTTTGTATAATTGTATTTACTTGAACTTCAGACTTTATAAAATCAGGTGATAGGATTTTGAACCGTTATAATCAGCTTATTATTAGACATATCTTATATTACATCTCAAAGGTCAACAATTATTACCTTCATTTATAACTTCTGTGCAAGGTTTTAACTTTTTTTCAATGTTTTTTACGACGCGGGAAAGAAAGAAACATAAAAACTTAGCGCTTTTGTTCTGATAAATGTGTAAGTTTACTATTAATAATCAATTAATGTTACTAATTCATAAGACTTACCTCCCACCATAAGATAAACTTCTGTGGGGAAAGCACGTTTCGCCTGCATCAAGGCCCTGGCATGACCGAAATGATAAACATCATAAACTCCATCTGCATACACTCGTATAGGTCTTGTTGCTACAAGAAAGAGAGATAAGAGTTTAAAAATAAAGCGTCCTTTTAAAGGGTTCCAAAAATAGCAATATTCTTTACAATTGCTAATTACGCGCCGGTCGACCAGCTGGCGTAACGCAGTTATTGACTGAAGTTGATTTATGAAAGTAAATTGCAGTTTTTGACATGCACCTTTTCCATCTTTAGCGTCTTTTAAAGTGATTGGCTCTAGATCACCCACAGGTTGGTCTTCTGAGGGTGAAATAGTCAAATCCGGCTTGTAGAAAGCTGCCGGATCACGCGGCGCCTATTAAAACCAAGCGAAAAACAAAGCATAAATATCAAAATTAAACAAATCCGTAAGGGCTTCTCAGTCCTGTATTTAGGCTCTACTGATAATTAGCGGAAATTACAATAGAGCGGAATACTGTAATGTAAATACACACACATTCAAAAGCACAACGACGGATTTTAAGCTTTTGTTTTCCATTGTGGAACTCAAGTTGTAAGCTGTTTAAACCTGCTAGCAAGCCATCGAGGAAATATAGCGTTCATAAAGGTTTGGGTTTGTTGAATTACCCTTCAAGCAAAGAACAAGAAAATATCAAGTTTCTTCCACAATACCAAGCTACGCAGTTAAATTAGGCTTCGATAAAGGTAAACTAATTTTACTGTCCTCGCCAAGTGGGGACTAATAGCTTTCAGCAATTTTGTACAAATGATTTCTTACCACGCGACAGCTTTTGTATTTCGATGCCCCGTTCGCATCCGAGTCGAGGGAGCTGGGACGTTTTCTTTTCCGCGAACCGTTCTGTTTTCTAGCTTCACCTGGGGAATTCTTAGGAGAAGACATTTTGCTGGAAGATCGAACTTCCGCACTTTCACTTTACGAACTGATGGGAGGACTTTGAACAGAAGTGGTGGACTGGTACCTAATTACGAAGTATGCCGAACGGGGCCGGAAACCTACCAATTTTTTTCGTACATCTTCGGAAAAACTCCGGTATGGACCGTCATCAATGGTTGTCATGGAAATAAGGGAAGCGGTCATCTCGGATCGAGAAATCAGACAAAAAAATGGCCACCGCAAGTCAACACAAGCCTTTGCCTCTTTTACGCCGGCCTTTGCCACCCAAACATTCACCACCTCCGTCTTCACTCCGCTCCCGATCAGAAGATAAATATTCAGAGGCTGAAGATAATTACACAGTGTTGTCAAAATCGCCAGGGGTGTCAAGTATAAAGCGATTCGTTAGTAACAAGTCTAGAGCAGGAGAATCGAAAATGAGAGAAGTTAGGTTTCACGGTGACGTACCACTTCCAGTTACATCTGTGATCAAGCCGTTCAAAGCAAAGGGACCCGATCCTCTTCCACCAAGGCCTCCGAGAAAACCAAGAGAACTACCATCAGAGGCTTTTATAAATGATTCATACATAAGACCGCCTCCAGAATTTACGCTGAAAGACTTCGTGAAAAGATTACCTTCGAGGGCTGGATTAGATGAGGATGGGGAACCAATGCTGTCTGATCAAAACTATGAAAAATTAACGAACTGGTTTGCTGCCAATAAACCTTATCAATCTGCAATTCATAGTCTCGAAATAGACAGTGAGTATTAAAATTTTATTTCCATCGATTTATTCATCTTTGTTTCCTCGTGTAAGTCAATATTATAGACTTATTATATGAAAGCTCATTTATGGCACAGTCAAAGATATCACGACTGCACTGATTGGGTGTGCAGTTGTTTGCTGTTATATAATAGAAATATGGACTTGATCACAAGGATAATAAGCAGATGTCCAAAACTATGGACTCCTATTTGAAATGTGTTATTGTTGTTATTTGCTGCATGATTAAGCTTACTTGTAGGTCTCACAACCTAGATGAAAACTTTTGTTTATACAGGTGGTGTTAATGTTCCAGATGTTACTCTTAGAGTTCCAGCAAGACAGTTACTTATAGGTGAGAAACATTCTTAAAAAATTCTCATCTCTGCAAAAAAAGTTATGTTCATGGTCAAGGTGTTGTTTAGTCCATGATCACCATGAAGAAGGTCTGAGGGAAGCAGGAGTTTAAAAGTCAAATCCAGAACATGTGGGCAACTGTGAATCCTAGTAGATCAATAGATATCAAAGACTTCTTGCATCAAACTTGGTTCGTATTGGTTTATAATCACTACCGGTATATTGAGCTCTTGAAACAGTTCCAGATAAAGATCACCCCAGTTACAGGAATTTACTAATACCCCTCCCACAGAGGGACTTTTGGTTTGAGAGCTCCCCCCCCCTCTCCACATCATCCCTCTAGAAATTTCAGTTTTAGTTCATACTTTCCTCTAAAACTTTTGACTTTTGCACCCCACTCCCCTTTAAAATTTCCAATAATCCTCCTTAGAATGTGAAGAATGATCATCGCAGTAAATTTTCCGATTTAAGTAATTGGAAAGAAGCCTGAAAAAATGAGGGCTTCAATGGGATTTGAACCTGTGACTTCCGCAAATACCGGTGCGATGCTCTACCAACTGAGCTATGAAGCCACACATTGGGAGCGAGGTCAATTAATGGAGTTCATATCTTCCTGTGAGGAGTGAAGTGATGTGAAGTATATTTGAAATGATTCATATTTGAACTGCGGTTGTAGATGAAAGTGAAGAAAAATCATCGCAGTAAATTTTCCAATTTAAGCAATTGGAAAGAAGCCTGAAAAAATCAGGGCTTCAACAGGATTTGAACCCGTGACCTCCACAAATACCAGTGCGATGCTCTACCAACTGAGCTATGAAGCCACACATTGAGAGCGAGGTCAATTAATGGAGTTCATATCTTCCCATGAGGAGTGAAATGATGTGAAGTATATATGAAATAATTCATATTTGAACTGCAGTTGTAGATGAAAGTGAAGAATGATCATTCTTCACATTTTGTGTTTTTCGTTTTCTCAGAGATGCAATTCCAAGGAATGAATACTTCACTCTCACCTGACCAGGAAGTAGCATTCATTCAAGAACGATCATCCACTGTCTTCCCTGTGACTCCTGCCACATCAAAACTGACAATGCCTGTTTCTAGATATGCGCCGCTACCTCCAATAGATACTGAGCATGCCTCTGATGGTGACAGGGATGCTGTGGTGTCTTCCAGAAGAGATGATCATCAACATGTGCAGTATGAATATGTTCCTGTCAGAACAATAGGTCAGGTGACGACAGCAGAGATGGTTTCATCACCTCGGGCCAAATATGGCGAGAAAGTTGGATTGCAAAGTGACGAGATGCATGGATCAAAAGATTTAAGAACTAGATTTGTTTCAGTTCAGGATAATACTTTAGGAGGTGGAAAAGATGATGATGCACTGACAAGGGACAGGAAAGCGGACCCTCTTGTGTCAGAGAAACAGAAAACAGTTTTGAATGAAAGAACATTAACCCTTGAAATGTAAGTTAAAAGTACAGTTCAAGTTGGCAGTTTTCTTTTTCCCTAGTGACAACTGAAGTCTTCAGGCTGGACGTCCCAGCCACAAACAAAGCTCAGTTTTTTTGTTCCATATTTCCATTCAGTGAACCAGCTGCAGCTTATCGGAACATGGAGGTCATTCTACATAGTTCACGGCCGGAATACTTCCAAGGAGAAGAATTACCAAGAACATCGTCACCATTTGGTTTGTATTATTACAATACTTCAAAATTACCAAGAAAATCTCAACTGAATGACTGCTTCTTCTCTGGGGGGTACTTCCTATAATGGCCTATACAGTGAGCCTCCTCCCAAAAGGGGTACCGTTTTCAGGCTTCATGTATATAAAAGGGTAGGGTTATCACAAGTTGAGGTATGTGAAAGGTAGGGAAATCTGTCATTCAGTTTATTTTGAAGGGCATTTACTGGGTAATTAAAATATTTTGAATGGACAGACCTTATGGCTTTAGAATTTCATTTATTGGGCACTTCATGAAAATGACAAGAAGACTTCCTTTTGAAGCAATTTATCCTTAATACAGGCCAGTTATTCAAGTATGTGAAAGGGTACCTTTTTTCAATTAACGGTACACAAAAGGGGTTCCTTTTCTGTCAAAACGGTATACAAGAGGGTAAGGGGTTGGACCTCAGGGCAGAGCTTCCCTGTATAGAAGTTTTTAGAGTACCCTACCCCCATCTCCCCCAAGGCTTTTTCATTCAAAAAATGCACTTCTTTGACTAAGAGTGTGTTAGCAGCATGCTGCCAAATGCTTATATATATATTACAGTACAATTTCTCTTTATTTGAACGTGGTAAGTACCTAATAGAGTATCTTTTAGGGGTCAAATAAAGCTCAAGCCACACCCACATTAATCTCCTTTATGGGGTAACTCAAATTTTTCAACAAGCATCCCCCACCTCTTCACATTGGTGTGCCCCCAGAAGCTTCACATGATGACAAAATGCTAAGTTGTTGGAAATCTTTAGAGAAGTTCAAATCTCATCCAATTCCTATCTGTTATCATGTCTAGTGAGTGCTGATGCTTATGATGCTCAGATGTCTCCAGTGGAAGCTGTGATTTTAAATACAATGATGATGGAGTCATCAATGCTGAATCTCAGAGCACATTTCCTTAATCGCCTTCCTGACCTCAGTTCACTGGCGGGACTGCTGACTCATCTGAATCTTTCCTTTAACGACCTCTGGGTAAGCTGCAATCAGTGCTTTGGTATTTTGAAATACATAACTCTTATTTTAATTCATAACTCCACAATAAAAAGTCTTGGGCTACCTCTCAGGAAGGTCAGCCTTAAAAGGTCCACAGCAGGAGCTTTTTTGGTACCTTTTAGGGTATTGAGCTAAAGAAAACTATGACATGAGGTAATGTGTTGGTTTAAAATTATTGGCACGTCTTAGGGGTGAAGAAAAGTTCAAGCAGCGCCCATGAAACAGGATCTTGGAACCTCTTAGGAGTTCTTTTGAAAATTTCTGACGAGCACCCCCGTCCTTTTTATAAGGGAGTTTCTCCCTGGGGAAATGACAAGGAGTACAGTGGAATCCCAATTTCTCGAACCCTCAGTTTTTCAAACCTCCCAATAACTCGAGACAAAAGTTGCTTCCCCTTCTCAATTGAACACTGTAATTTTACCACCAATTTTGCAAACTATCTGATTTTTTGAACCAATTTTCGTTTCCCTTGGAGGTTCGAAAAAATCGGGATTCCACTGTATTACTATTCTTATAGCCCATGGCAGGTTAACCCTCAGTATTTGCCCAGTACACATCTAACTCCTAAGTGTTAAGTGATACTGTGGTAGTTAAGCGTCTAGCCCAAGAATGCAGCAAAAGATCCATCTATTTACTTGACGTTCAACACTGCCACACTAGCAATAACACCAGGCTGAGCACACTTTCCGATCTTTGTTTGATAAATATCATTGTCTTGTTTCTTTGTTAACTTGAGAGATGTTGTGTTCTAGGTCTTCCCTTCAGAGATTTTGGAGCTGACAAACCTGGTATCACTAAAACTAAGGAACAATCCCATTAAAGAAATTCCTCGGGGTAAGTAACTTTACACTGTTTATATCCTGTGAAGTGAGCTTTTGTTGGCAAGTGCACTTTACATTTTAGTTTGCAGGTGAAAAATATACATGTACCGTTCATGTAAAGAAATTCTTAGGTCAGTGCTTGAGTTTGATGGAGATTCTTACAAATATTGACCTGCCATTTTAATTTACATTGTACATTAAAATGTCATTTGTCAATGTAGCTGCAAGGAATGATTGGGTTGTGAAAATTTTGCTTTCTGCTAGTCTAAAGATGTAATCAAACGAGAAGGGCCTGGGTGTAAGAAAGGGCCCATCTTAACTGTTCCCTCCCATCCCTCATTTTTTTTTTTTGATGGTTTTTAATAATCACTTCATGTAATATTATTTTCAGGTATAAAAAGTCTGAAGAGACTTATCGTGTTTGAGATTTCTTTCAATCTTCTTACCTCCTTACCCTCAAGGTTGGTTATGACTTGTTTTATAGAAAATATTTATAGTTCCCCAAAAACGTGAAAGCAGTGCTCCCTAAATGCTTCCACGTTTGCATGCACCCAAATCAAAATCAAAATTCAGTGCTGTGTAGGAAATTTAGACCTCACTTATTTATGCCCTACATTCATCGAGACCGTAGAAATGACACCTGTCGCCTTTTGCAGTAAAACCACTTGCTTCGCTTGTGGGTCAACTTGTGTATTTAGCGGATAGAGGAAGTTCATTTTTCTGTTTTTCAACTGAGAAAATTTTGTTAGATCTCTGTAGTAATTGTCATTCAAACTCATTTCCAAGTGAATGCCAGTAACTAACTGTCATTGGTGTTTTATTAGTCTCTTTCAGTTAAAGCATCTTGAGATGTTAGACCTAGCTTACAACCGTCTTTCATTTATCCCGTCAGACATTGAGAACCTAAGGTAAGCAACAAAGAACACGAAAAGATCAACTTGCCGCTTAATGATTGGCGGATTGGCCCCGACCACACTTATACGCTTTTGGACTACCGTTTTCGTCTCAAAGAAAACGAAGCAGAAGCAGAATATTTTCGCCAGCACTTGCGTTTTCGTTTGTTTTCACCTGTCTACACTTATTCGTTTTCATTCGAAAAAGCATACTTTTTTATACGTTTTCGCCCGTTTTCGTTTATTTCGTTTTCGCTTTTTTGGCACGTTTTCACCTATTCAAACTAGAAACGGAGCGTTTTCAAAACGATGCGTTGTCAAAAGGCTCCTCTTTTGAAACCGTTTTCGAAAACTTCCGTTTGGATCAGCGTTTTCGGTCGTCTTAGAGTGGACGAGAGGCGAAAACGCATCAAAAGTATGCGTTTTCGTACGAAAACGCATTAGTGTGATTGGGGCCTAAGTCGATGAGCCCCCTTTTTTTTCTCGCATTTCTGACACAAAAAACCGCTGTATAAAATTGAAAAAAAATCTATGTGTCAGAAAATTCCTGAAGGTGGCTTACCACAGTTTTGATGGATTATAACAGCCCAACTTCTAATTCTTTTGGAAAATGTTCCAAGATGTTTTTCCTTTCTCTATTTACTATTTACTTAAGTCTTTTACCATTCTATGTGAAACTTGAACAAATTAAACGTCAACAAATGGCCAAAATGAACGACCGAGTACCTAAGGAGAGACTGGGCACTAGCAGGTTAAATCACGTTTTTCTCAAAATCTACCCGTATGACCCCACCTCAAAATTTCAGGAAGAAGAAATTGGCTCGGATTTAACATTCATGCAAAGTAAAATAAAGATCTGTAGGACAGATTTTTCGCAAACTAAGAAAATGTAAAATCAAAAATAGCTCAAAATCTGTCTTACAGATTTTTATTTTACTTTGCATGAGACAGATTTTGAGCTATTTTTGATTTCACATTTACTTAGTTTGCGAAAAATCTGTCGGACAGATTTTTATTTTACTTTTTGTTTTGCTTTGTCTGTGTCAATCTATAGAGCTCTCAGGGAATTAAATCTTGAAGGCAATCAGCTCGGAGCCTTGCCAGTCGGAGCGCTGCATCTGAACCTCAAGTACTTGAAAATAAACAACAACTTTATGCATCCTCTGCTGTGGAGAGAGACTGCTACCAACCAACCTCAGGTTAGATAAGAAGTCACTATCATAATTTATTTTATGACTTGTGTTTGTGGCCGATCTAACGCGCGTTCTAATTGGCTAACTGTAGGGCATTATTCTCCCGTAATGCCCACGGGCCAATTACGTGCCTGCAAAGACAGAGCAAAAAGCCGTATAATAAACAACTTATTAACCTCGAACGTTCGGTCTTTACGGGAAAATCTCAAACCTTGGCCTTGTAGTATTGACCTAGCTATCGCTCGGTCAATACGACATGTTCTCGGTTTGAGATTTTCCCGTAAAGACCTCACTCTCGGTTAATAAGTAGTCAGAAGTACACTATAAGTAGTAATATACGGCAGATGTGGAATCCGATTGGTTAGTTCGTTTTTGCTGTAGATTTTTTGGTTAGTGTCCTGGGGCTGATTTCTCGAAAGCCCCAGAAACTTTTCAGGCCCGCAAAGCCATTTTTAGTTCATCTGTATCTAAAAACAAAGAGATTTATACGTCTCAAACTTCTTGTATAAAGGGAATCTCTGTTGATATTAACCCTATGAGCCCCAATTACGCATATATGCGTAATTAATGGTGGTGCCCTTTGTACCACTTGTGACGTCATCAATTTAGGTGTCATCAGATATTCTTGGTAAGCAGATAGTAGGGGCCATGTTGCAGCTCTCGTCAGGTCTCACACGAATAGCTTGAAACCCTTTGAGAGGACAATAGAAAAAACAACAGAAACAATGCCCCCCTAGCCCCAAAACAAAAACAGCTGCTGCAATGACGACAAATAGAATTACAAGCTTACGAGAACTGCTACACTACTGGATAGTAGTACTAGGCTAGGCCTTTCCGTACAATGGCCAGGTTTAGATATCTACGACATTCCGACGTCGCAAATCGAAAAACAACGTTATCACTTTTGGTGCAAAAACGGTGGTAAAATGGTCCACTACGCCTATTATTGATCAAGGTCCATTTCTAGGCTTCGCCCGTAATTAACATCCAACTTTTCACGGCAGCCAGAAAGAACATGCTACGCAAAAGGTAGCCAGAGTAAAAAGGCCTAGAGAAAAAGAAAGGAAAGGGGCAACAAACAATTGAGAACGGTTAATGGCAAAAAAGAAAGTTTTGGCTTCTGGGCATGTCCGGAATTGAAATATTGCTCAATTTTGTACCTAATCCTCGAAAAAATCTCTCCTTTTTGTAAAAAACAGCTTTCTTAGCAAAACTTAGGCTTATTTAGCGTCATGGCAGCCAAAAAACCTGACTGAACGGTTAAAAACGGTATTCTTTGGCGAAAGTTTGGTATTCGAAGGGTTAAGAACATGTGAATAAAACGGCTCCACAATCATAAGGTTTGAAATTTTGCTATTGCTTTCTGGGTACGAAAACTTTTCGGGAATTTACTCTCACAGTGCGTNGCATTTGTTGGTTGAGCTTTAAATTTAGAGTGCGCATGTTATTGAAAGGCGCAGTAATTCGTTTCTGTAATTTAGAGTCCGCATTTTATTGAAAGGCGCAGTATTGTTCACAACGCCTTAAAGTTTCTTACGTCATAATCTCTGCGTTTTTTTGTTCTTGCCGATTCAAGAAATTTTCTGTATTGATGAATAAAATCGTTATTCTTAATGTGAGTCTCATGTTGTTTTTCTGCAGCGTCTTGGAGACTTATCAGCTCTAACTGTGTTCAAAGCGGGAATTCACATTAAGACTCGCAACTTACCACCTGCTATAAAGAATCTTCTAGACGAGTAAGTACACGTTGCTGGTGCGGTAGAGCAGTTTTCAATTGAGTGTCGTAAAACCAAAACCAAAGTAATCACTCCAGCCAGTCACAAAGGACACAGGTAATACAGAGAACCAATCAAAACCCGAAGTAATTACATGTAGCTGACGCAAAGTGCGGGAAAACATGTGCGCGCGAGCTGGGATTGGTTTTGGTTTTACTTCTGATTGGATGAAAAAGTGGCGCGAATTTTTTAAGCCAATCGTGTTGCGTAGTTGATGTAAAACCAATTACTTTTCGACACTCAAATGAAAACCGCTCTATAAATATAAATTAGTTTGGGAGGCCAGTTTTTATGAAGGCTGTCTCGTTTAACAGAAAGTTTGGCAGATTGCGGTGAGTTTCGAAATCCCGGAAAATGTTTAGCTCTTTTCAAGAACAAAATTTTACAACGTAATTATCGTCCAAGGAAATCGAGAAAACAGCGATTGATGAGCATTGGTAACTCCGACTACTTTCTCTACTTTCATGGGTTTTGAAATTTGTCGCCCCACAAAGGAATCGTTTGCATCCTCGTAGTTATCCTCTGTTCCCGATAACTTACTTTCATTTGTATAACACTGTCCAACAAATTCAAACTGTTAACTGTCGTGTCCACAGGTCACCCAAGCGTAATATAAGAGTTTGTGTGGTGAACTGTGGCTGAAATGTAAGAGTTTGTATGGAAATTAAACGATGACATTGAAATCAATCAATTTATGGGTAATTTACCGAATAAAGACTCTTGTGACACCGTAGGATAAATAAATCAAAATTCGCTCAAATCTCGTTTTAACTCTCCAGAATGAGAAAAAATGACACCATTGAATGTTGAGGAGTCTTGATTGATTTCAATGTCATCTTCTAATCTCCTTACAAACTCTTATATTTCAGCCACGGTTCACCATACAAACTCTCATATTACGCTTGGGTGACCTGTGGTCGTGTCAAGCCCTGGCCAAACGGACTCGCAAGTTTCCTCGCAAGTACACACAAGTCTTTAAAAACATTTTAATGCAGACATATCCTGTATTCATTGGCTAATAGGTTGTCATGACAAAGAATGGAGGTCACTCAACTTGCGTTGACTTGGGTTGGGTGGCGAAACGGTGAAAAACTTGCGTCAACTTTCGTGCAAATTTGATCTCGACCAAAGTGAGCGCAAGTCATCGCAAGTGCACGCAAGTGCACGCAAGGCCTGGCCAAACGGAGTCTTAAGTAGACCCAAGTTTCAACTTACGTCTACTTGCGAGTCCTTTCTGGCTAGGGCTTTAAACGTGTCCATCTAACCTGTCACCATTTCTTTCTGTCTAGTTACAGCCGCTGTGATTGCTGTGATGGTCCGATGTTTGGTCCAGGAGTGAGAGTAATCAAGGCTCCGTCTGTCATCTTCGGCGTCAAGAATCTTCCATTTGTTTTCAACGCCTGTACACAAACCTGCAGAAGACAGTTCAGTAGAAACTCTGATTCATTAAAGCTTTGGATACAGAGGAACGCGCCGCAGACTTTAGCTGAGTTCTAGTTTTGGAACGAAATATAATAAATGGAATTAAAAGGATGAGACTCGGACAGGGTAGCGAGGCTAATACGAAGTGTTATTCTCTGAACCGGATCAACTGAATAGGAATTTAGAATTTATGGCTTAGTGACTTTTAGTCGGAGTGAAGATGAAGATTAGAGAAACAATGTAACTCATAGATATTAACCCGAAATGGTCACCCAACAAATTGAAAGTATTCTGTACGTAGACGGAGTCTTTCCTATCTTCACCAGTATATAAAAAGTGTATTTTTGTAAAAATCCATATTTCAAAGCAATAAATAAATTACGTAATAAATAAATTGTGCAATAAGTAATGGTAATAGGACTGAGTGGAGTCCAACTCGATCTGTTATCATAAGAGTGATAACAAAATCGGACCCCCGCACAGCGGGAGTCCGATTTGTTTATCGCGAGTATGATTACAGACCGAATTGGACGACACGAAGTCTTATTACCAATTAATCATAAAAATTACAATTTCCGAGAAAAGAAGAATAGCCAAGTTATGAAAGAAAGGGAAAATTTGCATTAAAATACCTACAAAGGAGATGTAAACATTCTAAGGACACCGCGCCTCCTARCGACAATTAGGCGCCAAAAACACAAAAGCAAGSGCGCGCGCACGCACGTAACTACAACCTTGAATGTGATTGGCTTATTGAACTGTCCGATAACAACTTGACAAGTGAATTAGTAGAAAATAGGAGTTTTTTAAACCAATCACAATCGAGGAAATTGTAATTTTTATGATTAATTGTCTAATAAATTGTTATGTTCATGCAAGTTCTAGCCCTTGTGTATTTGCTTTATCTTCGAGCTCTCGGTCTCTTCGGTCAGTGGAAAGGCGGGCACTGTGTGTAGGAGACAGCAAAATAATACTAGCAAACTGGGACGAGCAGAGGATCTTGGGTGGACTCTATTTCGAATGCATAACTTTTAAAATATATGGAGTAGAAGGAAGTACAGTTGAACCCCGCTATTTCGGACTCTCAGTACTAAACGACTGACGGGTTAATCCAAGGGAAATGGTTTAGAATTCGAAACTCCCATAATCTACAAGCTAACCTCTTAAGAGGATAACGTGTATGTTATCAAGTTTTATGTGCTAAGCATTGCCTAAAAGCAGTGTAAAAGCCCCTGAACAATCCCGGCGGCGTTAGCTATACGTTCAGCTGGGCTCAAGAAACCGGCAATTACACGATCTTCGGTGCTTGTCACTGGTATATGATACACTTGAAAACGTCACCCTGAACAAGCAGAAAACAAGGTCAACCATAGTACACCGTATATAAAACATAATTTATTTGACGCAACTACCTCGTGCGTTGTCACTTTTTACAGCTCTTCTTTAAATTAATGTAACTATGTACAAGTCTTATTGGGACACGAAAATGCCTGAACTAGCAACTAGTGGGGAGGATTACACGAAAGTTCTAGCGCCGACGTTGGAGAACTGATCCTTAGTTCACGATCACTGTTTTCTCCTGTTGACTGCTGGGAGATGATGCTTATAACCGAGCCTTCTTCCCGGCATTCCTTGCTCTCTGCAGGTGAAGCGGCAAAGGAATCTTGTCTAGTCGAGGGTAGTTAGGAAGGCGCATAGCATTCTGGGCACGATCTAAAACGATACTAAAGAAACAAAAAGTGCGTTAGAAATTCTAATTAATAAAAGCCACGTTGTGTGTGAACAAAATAAGAAGACCGAGTGTGTTTGTTCTTCTTATTCTTTTGCTTGAACTTATTATGTTTGTCTGTGCATCACCTTTTGACACTAGAGAAACCAGCCCATTACACGGCAATAGTCGTGTAACATCGGCAACACAGTCCTTCAAGCTGGTTTTCAGTCGCGGTCCCATATAAGGACAGTAAGCTAGAACAACCTCGTTCCTGGGCGGGAAAGAGAGAGACACTGGTGACAAGGCTGCAAACTAGATACGACAACTGTTCTAACGAAGATTTTCATGGTATGCTACAACACGTTATGTTTTATTCAACTTTCTCGCAGTGGTTCTTGTTACTTGTCTGGTTTTTCGACACAAGTCACAAGCCACTCTAGGGCTTACTTTACAAACTGCTTCACTTCAGCAAGGTGCATCTCATGACTGTCTCTACCGCTGGGTGTCTTTGCTTTCTTGACAGCCTGAAAAAAGAAAACAAATAAATCCATTGTGACAAGATTACAACTCACACCTTAGTCGCTGCTATAGCTAGCACAGTGGACGCCTTAAAGGATCTTAGTCACGATATTTGGAGTTATTTAATTACCTTTTAATTGAAGGAAACCTGAAAATAATAGTTTTCTAAGATAGAAAAACACTGAAGAGAAAATGATAAACCATAAAGGAACAAGGATGGTTAAGGATGGAGACGATTGACACGGATTACAAACGCCAAACTTGAAAAATTTGGCTTAACTTTTCAAGATGCGCGACCCGTGACGTAGCTCCTTTAAAAGAGAAGCCTTGGCAGCGGATAAATTCTGCTAAAGGAGTGTGATCATTTAATATTTCTTGTGGTAAATCCACATTTCAATTCCAGTCTCTATGTCTTGTGCAGAGCTATTCCCAGTACACCTCCGACACGTTTGACGAAATCGCCTAAGTCCCAACTGACACACCTAAAATTCGGGCTCGCTAAACTTCGTTTTATTAAAAGCTGAGGCTTTAAACAACCGAGGTCAAGCAATGAACAAAATCTGGTGACTGTTGGCTATCTATACATGCAGCCTAGGAATCCTGATATCTTTTCTTAATATCCCGTTGTATCTTCTTTTTTGACGTGCGAGAAGACACCTCCAATTCAGTGAACAATTTTCAACATTTCAAATGAATCCATACCTTAAGTTTTGCTCCAACATTAAACCGGGCCGTATGTTTGCCGTGATTAAAAGTGAGAACAGTTTTATTCTGAAATAACACAAACAATGAATAGTTAGTATTGTTTAAACGGAAAGAAGCAACACATTAGCTCCAAAAATTAAGCTTAGGATTGCCGAACAATTTGAAGATAAGGAGAAGATTTTCATGATTTCATCAGTAATATAGTTTACAAACCTAAATGGGGGAAAATATTGCTTAGAATGACGTTTCAACAGAGTTTTATACCTCAAATTTCACAGAAAAATACTTTATTTTATCGAAAGTATGGTCCTCGTAAGAAACAAAAAACATTTAAAGTCACTGCTTACCTGAGAAAAACATCTGATTGACAGCTGTTTGGTAATCATGAACGTGATTGGTTGAAAGGGCGGAGCGTGCACGTGCTCTTTCAAATTATGCCAGAGCCACTTCTTTTTCTTAGCGCCGTTTTTATCCAGAAGAACTCCGAAAAATGGATTTAAAACGAGTCTAACGAAGAAGAGAAAGAGAGAGAAACAACATTCAGAGAGAAGCATGTTAGTTAAAGATAAGAGATGGAACAAAAATCCATTCGCCATTNCGGAAATAACCACAAAAGTAGAAATAGTAAGTTTGCTATGTAAAAACAACAACAACAACAATTTATTGGTATTCCCATATATATGGATGGTATTACCTTGAATAACAATATATAAAATATATAACAGAAAGAAATTAAAAATAACAATACCACTAACCACATTAAATTAAATAGGATTACAAGTTTCTCTTATATGCAACGCTTCATACACAAAATAACCTAGTTTCTTACAAATAAACGAATCAACATAATTAAATAGGAATAGAGTTTTATCAGTATTGTTCAAGAGATCGAATGATGGGTATTTTAGTACAATGTCACTTGTTATTCGTTGCCTAATAGTTTAATAATGATCACAATGAAATAAGAAATGGTTTTCGTCCTCAATTTGGTTAGAGCGGCAGTATTGACAAATCCTAAGAGATTCAGGTAATTTAGGAATACAGTGTCGTCCAGTTTCGATTCTAAGTCTGTGGTTGCCTGATCGTATTTTAGCTATAGCTGGTCTATGCTTTAGGTTCTTTACTTGTTCTAAATAACAATAATATAGCAATCATAAAAATTACAATTTCCTCGATTGTGATTGGTTTAAAAAACTCCTATTTTTCACTTATTCACTTGCCAAGTTGTTATCGGACAGTTCAATAAGCTAATAACATTCAAAGTTGTGGTTTAAATCAACTAATCTCAATTTCAAAGCGACATTAAACAATTAACGCCTCCTTTGTCAGTCTTTTATTATAAATTTTTCCTTTTTTTCATAACTTGGATGTTCTTCTTTTCTCGGAAATTGTAATTTTTATGATTAATTGATAGCAAGACTTCGTGTCTTCAAATTCGGTCTGTAAACAAATCGGACCCCAACACCCGCTACTCGGTCCTCCGATTTTGTTATCACACGCTTGATTGCAGACCGAATTGCACTCCACTCAGTTATATTACCATTACTTATAACGTATCTTAAAAATTTTACTTGCCTGTCGACACAGAACAACATTCTCTAGAAACTAAAAGCTTTGCTCATGGGTATTTGATTTAGATTAGCGTTATAGAAATGTAAGTAAGATTTCTGTAGACTAACTGTAGTAGTCATTTATTGACTGGTTACTCTCTTGAGACTACCTTATTATCATTAATAAACAATACCCTGTTATTTATATTGAACAGAAACTTTAGGTGTACAGGTCGAGCAGTTTCCTTCTCCGTAACAAGAAGGGATGTTGTAGATCATTCTCTCATCAGTATTACTTGAAGTTTACGTTTCGCCATTTATTGCTCTGTAACATGTGAAATACCTACCAGTACTCTGTGTGAATTTAATAACCAGATTTAAACAATGAGCAATCGATATTAAAACAAACCTTACTTAAATACAAACCTTAGTACTAAGTGCTAACACTTCCTAAGGATGGTGATTATGATGGTTGAATGATGATGGTAATGATGATGAAGGTGATGATACGATACGATAATGAAAATGATAGTAATCGTATAAATGACAAAATTCTCGATCTTGATTGGTTCTCCGCTTATAATTTGTCACGTAATGGACGGGCGATCACGTGGGTGTCCAATTACAGGTATCTAATTAGACCTTTTTGTAACTGATACCATTGCCAATCGCACCTCAATCACACCCGCTTTAATAGCTACCATCTTAGTGTTTCCTAGAGTGTTTGAAACTCATTCGTTCAAAATAAGGTCTCTAAGACTGTTTTTTAATTTCCATTATTCGTTATTGATACGATTTATTAGTAACTGGACCTCGTGTTGTACAATTTAAGAAAAAATCATGCTCGTAATTTTAAATCTGTCTCGTGCAAAGCCGTGTAAGGTTTTGTAAAATATAACCTATTAAAGCGACTCTTCTTGTTATCTGCATGGAGGATATGTTTTAAAAGGATAAGAGGACTAGAGAGCTAGCTAAACAATTTAGGAAGTTAAGTCGCGAGAGACGAGTCAGCGAGCGAGCGCGACTTTGCTCATCGACTTTGTTCCTACCGCAACGCATGAGAGCCTGCTCGCAGGCTAAGTCGCCCGATGAAATAGCTAAAGCATTGTGTACACACACTGTCCGTAGTCTCCGAACTACATTTTACGAGTGGATGAACAGACGTACTAGAAAAATTTCACGCGAGGTAGCTCGCGAGTAAACACGGTACAGCGCACATGCGCTGTATAAACCGTACCGTCTTGTGACGTTATGTTTTTGTACCAAAAACACGATGGTGTTGTTTTCGCTTGCACCACTGTGATCTTCATTCTGGAAGCTCTGTTGACAGTTTTTTTTTGTAGTAAAGGAAGAAATTATTCCGAGGTACGAATCGCATTTTAAGGGGCAATTTCTGCTTCCGCTATCTCTTGGTTTCAGTTGCAAGAGCAAGAGAGTTCTATTTCCTTCAACGCGTTTTAAATAAGAGATTGGATTGTCATTCGGATACAGCCTTTTTATCCCTTGTTGACATGTGTTGTTATATTTTATTTCAGATAAAATGTGAAGCGATTATCTGATGCGGTGTTTTTTACGTCAAGTAGCAAAAGATAGATACGTTAAAACTGCATGGGGCTAGAAGATTACTCTCCTGTATTTGCTTTCCCTCGGCGTACAAAGAGGAATAGCTTAAACCGAAAGAAGAGGTCGTCTAGACTAATCTTCTTCCAAAGGGTTAATCATGTGCAGCAACCTGAGAAGTTTCGCGAGGTTACACTGAAGGAATAATTTGGTACATCGCACATGCGCGTCAGTGACACACTACGACTGTGCTTCCGGCATTTCGTTTTCGGAAAGTTCCAGAGCACTGCTACTGAAATAATCAAGGCAATTGCCTTTCCTTCCGCACAAAAATAGAACACAATGGTTCGGTATCCATGGTCACCACCAGACAAACTGGTTCTTGTGGCAAACCGTGCAAGCACGTGACCTTGAGCTAATGTGGATATAAAAACCGCCAGACTGGACCAATTTTCCATTTAGTTTGGTTCCGTTAAGACGGGCGAGCAGGGTTTCTTTTAACGTCGATTCTTATAGGCTTCCCCTCTGGCAATTCACCCATTATATTACAAGGTAAGATTTTATGTTTGTATTAGTATCGTCGAGGGGTTTTTCTTGAAACAGTTTCGAACTTCTTTGCCTACTAGACAAAGCTAGACAAAGCTAGCGTGAGGTTTTAAACTGCTTCCGCTTTTCCATCGTGTGGTTGCGGCTAGAGGTGAATTTTCCCTGCCACATGGGAAGAAAATCAGTCGCGATGTTTTATGTAATCATGCTGTACACATTTTGAGTTTTCGTGCTTTAGTCAGAGGCCGTAAACGCCTCAATGTATCGCGAAACAAGGCAACTAGGGTCAACTAGAATACCACAGCACAGATTGTGTTAGCTTAGCTGTCGGCCCTGTTTGTCGAGATTCATCACTAAACTGCAGCTTCTTCTCGGGCTTGCTTGAACTGTTTAAAACACTTTTCCGATCCCAATTAGACACGATGAGCAATCTCGGATAGTCTTCCCCATTTCATAACTTTACAAGGCCTAACTGATACCTGTTAAAGCGACCGTGTGTCTTGCGATTTGGTCGGCGACTAAGAGTGGACAGGATCAGACATTTATCAAAGAACTAGAATTAAAACTTCTCGTTGAAATAGCTATTCGATGATATACACGCATGTCTATGCGAGACGATGAACCGAAGAACCAGAAACATTCCGCGAGTATTAAACACGGACAATACAAGGAACATGCGCTCTATCAACTGTATCGTCCTAGTCATGACTCTTTGTTATGTTTTTGTAGCAAAAAAACCCCGAGGTATCATTTTTTTGCTTGCACCTCTTTTATCTAAAT